ATTGTGGCAAAGCTAATACGAGTGCTGCTGAATAAGGAATAGTCTCTTCTTTGACCAGGGATGAGCATCTATTCATAAATTAGATCTTAATTATGTAATGTAGAAAGAAAATAAGGATCTTCAACCTACATCTTTCATTCTTCAAAGACTGATGGTGTGTTTGCATTTGGGTCCCCCTGTCCTATCATTTTTGAAATCACAGTTAGCTTTCTCTACCATTGGGAAATTGTTTGATGTGAAAAGGTATTGTCCTCCTATGCCTCTTTCCAAGCTCTAAGCCCCTACATTGATTAAATGGATCCTCCACTCCATGAACTCTTTCAAGCTGAATTTTTCCCCCCAACTAAAGCTTTTCCCACACACCAAGCATTTATATGGCGTCTTCCTTTGAGAATTCTTGTGTTGGTTCCTGTCTGAAACCTTTCCCATATTCCTGGCATTCAAATAGATTTTCCCGTGTGCAGAGACAGATGAAAAGTGTTGTCTTCTTACTGAAAGCTGCCCAAGCAAGCTGAATTTTCTGACTGAAACTCTTTTCACATTCCTGACATTCAAATGGTATCTCCCCTGCATGAGTTAATTGATAAAGAGCAATTTGTCCATTCTGAGTGAAATTCTTTCTATACTCCTAACATTTAAATGGTTTCTCCCCCGTATGATTTAATTGATGCCCAACCAGGTAACTCTTCCGACTGAAAGTCTTTCCACATTCCCGGCATTTAAATGGTTTCTCTCCTGTGTGAACTACTTGATGAGTGGTGAGATGGATCTTTTGATTAAAACTCTTTCCACATTCCAAACACTTAAATGGTTTCTCTGCTGTGTGAGTTAATTGATGACGAATTAAACCTGACTTCCAACCAAAACTTTTCCCACATTCCTGACATTTAAATGGTTTCTCCCCTGTGTGAACTGCCTGATGAGAATTGAGGTGGGTCTTCCGATGAAAACTCTTTCCACACTCCAAACACTTAAATGGTTTCTCTCCTGTGTGAGTTAATTGATGAAGAGTGAAGCCGGACTTCCAATTGAAATTTTTTCCACATTCCAGGCACTGAAAGGGTTTCTCCCCTGTGTGACTTGCCTGATGATCTGTGAAGCTCTTCTTCCAACTGAAACTTTTCCCACATTCCATGCATTTAAATGGTTGCTCTGCTGCATGAGTTGTTTGATGAGCTGCAAGGCTTTGCTTCGAACGAAAACTTTTCCCACACTCCAGGCATTTAAATGGTTTCTCTTCTGTGTGTGTTAATTGATGACAAGTGAGACTTCTCTTCCAGCTGAAACTCTTTCCGCACTCCTGGCATTTAAATGCTTTCTCTGAAGTGTGAGTGGTTTGATGAGAAATGAGGTGTGCATTCCGACGGAAGACTTTCCCACACTCCAAACACTTAAATGGTTTTTCCCCTGTATGGATTCTTTGATGACAAGTAAGATGTTCCTTTTGACTGAATTTCTTTCCATATTCCATGCATTTAAATGGTCTCTCCCCTGTGTGAACTGCTTGATGATAAGTGAGGTGGATCTTCTGTTTGAAACTCCTTCCACACTCCAGGCACTTAAATGGCTTCTCCCCTGTGTGAACTGCTTGATGAGGAATGAGGCTTCTCTTCCAACGGAAGCTCCTTCCACACTCCAAGCATTTAAAAGGTTTCCTCTCTGTGTGAGTTGCTTGATGAGAAGCAAGGTGTTCTTTTCGAAGGAATTTCTTTCCACATTCCAGGCATTTAAATGGTTTCTCCCTCGTGTGAACTGCATGATGACGAATAAGGGTTATCTTCTGCGTGAAGCTTTTCCCACACTCCAAGCATTTAAATGGCTTCTCCCCTGTATGAGTTGCTTGATGATGAATGAGGCTTATCTTCCAACTGAAGCTCTTTCCACATTCCAAGCATTTAAAAGGTTTCTTATGTGCTGCTTTATGGGAATTCTGGTGTGTTTTCTGACTTTTTCCACATTCCAAGCCTATTAATGATTTCTCCCCTGAGTGCAATCTTTGATGTGACAGAAACTGTGGCCTACACCTGAAACTATTGCCACATTTAAAACATTTAAATGGTTTCTCTGTTATTTGAGATATTTCATGGGAAATCAGGTTTTTCCTATAACTGTCAGTGTTTCTACTCCCACCATCCTTAAAAGATTTCTCCCCTACATGAATTCTCCTGTAGTGATTAAGGCTAGCTTTACAGATGAAACATCTCCCACAATCAAAACAAAGACATTCACTTCCTTCCTTTGTTCTTTGTGTCCTTTCGTGAACTGAAATTCTAGAAATCTCAAGACCCAGAAATGCAGGAGAGGTGGCCCTCCTCTTCTCTTGAGTATCTGTTCTGGTTCGTTTCTCTTCCTTCTCTTTATGTCTGGCTCTTTCTACCAAGAGCCTGATTAGATCTTCACTGTCATTTGTATCACTTCCTGGCAAGGAGAAAAACATGGTCAAAATCCAAGTCAGAAATAAAGAC